ATTTGGTTGTAAATATTTTGACTGAGACTGGTGCATCTAAATTATAAATAAAGTCTACCTATAATTTTTCTTCCCCAAGTTGTCTTTGGTTTTAGCATCAAGATCATACTAGCCTTATAAAATGAACTGGAGAGGTATATGTCTTTTTCGTATTACCTGGGAGAGTTTATATGAATTCAGAATGGTCTGCTCCTAGAAAACTTGGTACATTCGGCCAGTAACACCCTCTGGACCAGCTTCCTGCCTCACTCTCCTCCTAACTATTAGTTCAGTTAAATTTAATAGTGATAGTACAAATAGGGCTTTCTATTAATATTATGATACTTCTCCTTCCAGTTCTTTTAATCACGTTTTTAATTGTCTCATTTATGTCATAAAGTCTTAAAGTTTTTACAGTTTGTTTCAACCAAGATCCAGATTACTACCATCTTTTTTTTTTTTTCATGCAATCTATTTGTTGAAGAAAATGGGTTTATTTCTTCTAGAGTCAGTTTTGCTAAGTGGTATTTTTCAATAAATTTGTATATGTCATCTAAATTTTCAAGTTAATTGGCAGAAAGTTGTACAGAGTATTCCCCTGCTTTAAAACAAATCTCTGTTGCGTCTATACATATGTGCTCTGTTTTCTAATATTGTTTATTTGCACCTTTTTTTCTTGATCAGTCTTGTCATTTTATCAGTTTTTAAAATAGTCAACTTTGTTTTGTAATTTTAAAATTTCTGCTTTAATATTTAATGTCTCATCTTTCTTTGGATTTATATTCCAAATTTATTTATTTATTTATTTATTTTTTTGAGATGGAGTCTCATGCTGTTGCCCAGGCTGGAGTAGAGTGGTGTGGTCTCGGCTCATCACAACCTCTGCCTCCCGGGTTCAAGCGATTCTCCTGCCTCAGCCTCCTGAGTAGCTGGGATTACAGGCACCTGCCACCACACCTGGCTAATTTTTGTATTTTTAGTAGAGATGGGGTTTCCCCATATTGGCCAGGCTGGTCTTGATCTCATGACCTCGTGATCTGCCTGCCTTGGCCTCCCAAAGTGCTGGGATTACAGGCATGAGCCACTGCACCCGGCTCTAGTCCTTTTAACTTCTTAAAAGTCATTTTACTCATTAATTTTCAGCCTTTCTCTTTTCCTTTTTTTCGTTTTTGTTTCTGTTTTTTTGTTTGTTTGTTTTGTTTTGTTTTTGCGATGGAGTCTTGCTTTTTTGCCCAGGCTGGAGTGCATTGGTACAACCTTGGCTCACTGCAACCTCTACCGCCCAGATTCAGTAAATCCTCCCACCTCAGCCTCCCGAGTAGCTGGGACTACAGGCGTGCACCACCACACCCAGCTAATTTTTGTATTTTTAGTAGACACGGGGTTTTCCCACATTGGCCAGGCTGGTCTCAAACTCCTGACCTCAAGTGATCTGCCCACCTCAGCCTCCCAAAGTGCTAGGATTACAGGCATGAGCCACTGTACTTGGCCCTTTCTCTTTTTCTAATAGTAATATTTAGTGACATAAACTTCTGTTAATTATGTACTAGTTTCATTACATTCATAGATTTTGATTCATAGAACTTTCACTCTTGTTTAAGTATTTTTATAATTTTCTATTATTTATTCTTTTATCCACGTATTATATAGAAGTGTTATACATTTTTTTAGTTGTTGTTTTAGTTGTCTTTTTTAGAATTAACTTCTAACATAATTGCCATTTTGGTCAGGGAATAAACTGTATGATACAAAATCTTTGGATTTTTTTTTTTAAACTTGCTTTATAGCTTTGTCTTTTTTTTTTTTTTTTTTGAGACAGGGTGTCACTCTGTCACCCAGGCTGTACTGCAGTGTCATGGTCATGGTTCACCGCAGCCTCAACCTCAACCTCCTGGGCTTGTGATCCTCCCACCTCAGCCTCCCAAGCAGCTGCAACCACAGGTGCATGCCATCACACCTGGCTAATTTTTTTGTGATTTTTGTAGAGACAGGGTCTCACAACGTTGCTCAGGCTGGTCTTGAACTCCTGGGCTCAAGTGATTCTCCTGCCTTGGCCTCCCAAAGTGCTAGGATTATAGGCCCACTTAACCTTGTCATTCTTTATAAAAATTTCATGAGTTCTGGAGGAAAACATGTAATACAAAATAATTGAAGGTTTTATATATATATATATATATGTAAATGACCAATTATGTATGTATATAATTGCCCTTAGATCAAGTTTATTAGTTGTTTTGTTTATTAGTTGCCTTGTCTTTCCTAAATTTTCATTTGCTTGATCTATAAATAATTGAGCTAAAATTTCACAATATGGTAGTGGATTTACCAGTTTCTTCAATTTCTGACTTACATACTTTGAAGCTATTTATTACACACAAAGGTTTGAATAACTATTTTCCTGGGGAACACAATTTTTATTATTTTGTACTGACTGTTTTTGGTCAATGATAATGCTTTTTGTATTAAAGTCTAATTTAATACAAAATATAGGTATACCACTAATATAGGTATACCACCTTTCTTTTTGTTGGCATTTATATGGTGTATCTTTTCCATCTTTTTATTTGCAACCCCTCACCATCCTTAATGTTTTTGGTGCATCTCATGTAAATGGCACTTTTTTTTCAACCAATCTCTGGCTTTTTCATTTTTTAAATTTGTGGGTATGTGTCTTCCAACAATCCAATCTCTGGCTTTTCATCAGAAAGTATATTTACTTTCATTGCTACTATTGATATATATTAATTTATTTATATTTTGTTACTTTAGTGTTTTCTTTTTTTTTTTTTTTAAATGCTCATTATGGTATTAGGTTTTTGTTCATTTAATCTGTATTTTCCCGTTAGCCCATTTTTTCCTTCGGCTGGATTAGAAGTTATACACTTACATGGTTATCCTTGAAACTTTACCTTGCGTACTTATATTAAAGTCTTGAATTATGTCAACTCTATTAATTGATATCCTAACTGCAAAGAGAGACCTTAGAATTCTTTAACTTTGTCATCCACCTCTCATCTTACATACTTTTGTTGTCTGGTGTTATTTCATGTGATGTTTGCTTAGATTCAACTATGTGTTTACATTTTCTTTGCCCATCACTTCTTCTTAGACTCTCCTTCTGAAGTAATTTTTCTTTCTGAAGTACATCCTTTAGAACTTCCTTTAGAAAGTGTAGATAGATGTTAAATTCATTTTCCATGTATCTGGAAATTATTTTATTTCTATACTTTAATTCTTGAAAGATGATTTTGCTGAGTACCCAATTCTAGGTTGATGGTTATTTTCTGTCAGTATTCTGAATATACAGTTCTACTCTTTCTGACTTCCATTGTTTTATTGAGGAATCAGTTATTGGTCTGTCATTTGTCATTAAAATAACCCAGGATTTAACCCAACTCTGCCACTTTATTGTTCTGTCATCTTGGCATGTCACTTCCAATTCCCTAGGCCTCAGTCTTTCATTGACCAAAGAGAGATAAGAACACCAAACTCACAGCTTTGTTATGAACATTAAGACAGATCATGTATATGAAGACACTACATAAGTGCTTATTATTACCACAGTGAGCTCATCTCTACATTATATTACTGTCTTGTTCTTTTCCCCCTACCACTGGAAGTAGTTAGAATGGTGCAAATGGGTCATAGCAAGGAATTCATAGCCAAAATTAGAAATAAAAAGGCAAGGCTTCTTCTGGGAAGGTTAAGTTTCTGTAATAGGAATCAAAGATGTGTTGTAGGTAGCCAGGGACCCTGAAAAGAGGGACCGGCTGGAGCCACAGCAGAGGAACAAAAATTGTGAAGATTTCATGGACCTTTATAAGTTCCCAAATAGTACTTTTATAATTTCTTATGCCTGTCTTTACTTTAATCTCTTAATCCTGTTATCTTCGTAAGCTAAGGAGGTACATCACCTCTGGACCACTGTGATAATTGTGTTAACTGTACAAATTGATTGTAAAACATATGTGTTTGAACAATATGAAATCAGTGCACCTTGAAAAAGAACAGAATAACAGCGATTTTTAGGGAACAAGGGAAGACATCCATAAGGTCTGACTGCCTGAGGGGTTGGGCAAAAAGAACCAAATTTTTCTTCTTGCAGAGAGCCATAAATGGATGTGCAAGTAGGAGAGATATTGCTAAATTCTTTTCCTAGCAAGGAATATTAATATCAGTACCCTGGGAAAGGAATGCATTCCTGGGGGGAGGTCTATAAATGGCCGCTCTAGGAATGTCTGTCTTATGCAGTTGAGATAAGGACTGTGATATGCCCTGCCCTGGTCTCCTGCAGTACCTTCAGGCTTACTAGGGTGGGGAAAAACTCTGCCCTGGTAAATTTGTGGTCAGACCAGTTCTCTGCTCTTGAACCCTGTTTTCTGTTATTTAAGATATTTATCAAGACAATACATGCACCACTGAACATAGACCCTTATCAGCAGTTCTGCTTTTGCCCTTTGCCTTGTGATCTTTGTTGGACCCTTAACAGTAGTTCTGCTTTTGCCTTTTGTCCTGTTCCCTCAGAAGGATGTGATCTTCGTTAGGCCCTTACTAGTAGTTCTGCTTTTTGCCTTTTGAAGCATGTGATCTTTGTACCTACTCCCTGTTCTTACACTCCTTCCCCTTTTGAAACCCTTAATAAAAACTTGCGGGTCTGAGACTCAGGTGGGCATCACGGTCCTACCAATATGTGATGTCACCCTCAGCGGCCCAGCTGTAAAATTCATCTCTTTATACTGTCTCTCTTTATTTCTCAGTTGGCCGACACTTATGGAAAATAGAAAGAACCTACGTTGAAATATTGGGGGCGGGTTTCCCCAATAAAGATGTCAGATGGGGTACAGCTTTTTTATATTCCATCCCTACCATCATTCCCTTACTTCAACTTCTCATTATCTCTTGCTGGATAATTGCATCATTGGTGTTTCTCCCTTCAGGCTCTTAAGCCTCTTATTTACCCTCCTCATACTGCCAAAGCCTTCATTCTAAAATGCAAACATTATTACTTCTGTGATTAATACCTTATGGCAAATTCCAGATTTGGTTAAGTACATAGTCTGTGTGTTCCCTAAAACATTCTCTGTCGCAAAGCAGCACAGTGTTGGTGTTCACATCAGACCACCCAGGTTCACATCTTAGTCTTCTAGTTAAAATTGTGTGACCTTGTAGCAAATAGTTTAACACAGGAAGCTGTAAAACAGTAAAAACAGTAAGTACTTTATCACGGTGTGAACGCATGCAGTGCACAACACCTAAGTGCTCAATAAATGTTGCCTGTTATTGTTAGAGAATATTATTAATATATTGTAATTGTCCCCATAATAAACTGTAAATAGATACAGTACATGTTAATTATTATTATTGAGGATGACATTGTAATTGATTACGTCTCAGTCTCTCCATTATACCTCCAATAACTTCGGGGGTAGACGCTGACTTACTCTTTTTGCTTCCCTAGAGGTTTACATGTTATTTGGTACTCAATTATGTAGGAACTGAGCCACAGCCAGAACCGAGAAGCTGGCTGTTGCTTCTGCCCTCGCCTGAGGTGAATTGTCAGCTGCACTGTTCCTCGGAGTCAAGGGCTCACACTCACTCTCAAGCAAAATGGCATAACTTTGGCTTTTCAGAGTATTGAACTAGTGATTCTGCCTTGCCTGCCCCTCAAATAAATGGTGTGTCACCCTAGAAACAAAGATAACACACTCTGCATACACAAACACGCACCCAGCGAGGAACGAAAGGTTAAGACTATCAACGGAACAGGGCGCACACACTTCGAGAGACAGGTACAGTGAAAGCCAACCAGAGAGAAGGTGGTCGGTGCATCGCAGGGTCCCGATCTTTCTTGCATCTTCAGCTCTAAAAGTCGGCATCTCGGGGTATGCCAGGGTCCTCGAGAAAACAGATATAAACACATATTTACCCACAAAACAGAGATAAAGCACAAGCCTGCGGGATAACTGGCGGAATTATCTTACAGTTGAGACTTTCTGCAACCCGCAGATTTTGCTGTGTCCAAGGCACAAGTCTTTCAGGGCTCCTGGGCACCTCAGCGACAGTCACTTCACCTCTCCGGCAGCTTCCTCGCCCTGACGGCGGCGTTCCCAGCGCGGCGCCTTTAAGCCGAGCTATGCGCATGCGTACCCACTGCAGACCTGGGCGAACCCGGGGGTTCGTTTCAGCTGACTGCGGTGTCCCGAGAGGCGCCGCTTCTTCCGCTTTTTCGCCAGGATCCTGCAGCACCAGGCGTGAACCGAGATTTCTGAACTACTGGGCGGGAGCCAACGTCTCTTCTTTCTCCCGCTCCGGCGGAGGCTTTGTCGCTGCGGGCTGGGCCTCAGGGTGCCCCCCATGGCGGGGCCACGGGTAGAGGTCGATGGCAGCATCATGGAAGGGGTGAGTGCAGAGCGAAGCGGCCGGAGCTGCCGCCAGACTAAGGAGGGCAGCTCTCTCCACCGGTGTGCTTACGTCTCTTCTCCCTGTACCCCACCCTTTGTAGGGCGGCCAGATCTTGAGAGTCTCTACGGCCTTGAGCTGTCTCCTGGGCCTCCCCTTGCGGGTGCAGAAGATCCGAGCCGGCCGGAGCACGCCAGGCCTGAGGTAAATCTGGCTGGAGGGAGACTTGGGCTGTGAAGTTGGGGGATGCGGGGGGGCGTCGGGCTGACGGGCTGGGGCATCGGGAGTCCGAGTGGTGGAACCCAGCAGGTCCCGGACGCAGGTATGGGCGATCCAGGGCGGGGACGCTCTGCCTGGGCGGTGGCCTGGGTTGTAAGATCTTGAAAGCCTCGAGGGGTGAGTTTATAAATGGTTTCGAGTTTTCTCTGTTTGGCTAAAACAGTCTCATTTGCTAAAGAGCTAGCTTTTAAAATGTTTTCCCACCTCACCAGGCATTCCAAATATCCGAATAGCACGTATGAGCGGGCAAGATAGATAGGGCAGAAATACTTGTGAGGTCAGAGGAAACCCTGTTTTTTCAACTAGTGCATTCTGTGCTGCTGCCAGTTTTAGAATCATAAAACAGTAAAGGATCCTGAGATGTGTTATTCCAGCTTTCATTCATACCTCCAGAGAGCTGTTACGACCAGAATTATCTGTTGTGGAGAGGGAAACACCTTGACACTTGACCTTATTTCTTCTGTCTGGGTAGCTGGGCATGCCACTAGTTGAGTTTCAGGTACATGCACCTGTTAGAAGAGGACCCAGGTTTGAAGCCGCACTGATTGCTTTGTATGTATTCTGTATTTATTACATTTTAATAAATCGGCAGGCTCAGTCTTTTGTCTACAGTTTTGAAATTACCAAAAGGCAATTACTGATATATGTTAATGTTAATTGCCTTTGTCATAGTTGTTTGCAGCCCTCCAGTTCACCAACAAGGGAATCCAATTCATTAGGCTGTAGGTGTTGTATTAGTTTGCTAGGGCTGCCATAACAAAATGCCACACACGGAGTGGGGCTTAAACAACAGAAATTTATTTCCACACAGTTCTGGAGGCTGGAAATCCAAGATCAAGGTCCTGACAAGGTTGGTTTCCTCTGAGAGCCATGAGAAAAGGATCTGCTCCAGGCCTGTGTTTTTGCCTGTTCACATGGTGGTTCCTCTGTGCACCTTACCCCTAGCGTCTCTGTATGTCCTAGTTTTTCTTTTTTTTTTTTTTTTTTTAAATAAGGTCACCAGTAAGATTGTATGATGGCCTTATTTTAACTTAATTATCTCTTTAAAGGCTCTATCTCCAAATATAGTCACATTCTGAGATGTGGAGGGTTAGAGGCTCAGCATATGAATTTAGGGGGGACATAGTTCAGCCCATACAGGCACCATAGATTATTCAGTCAAGTGCAAGCGAGACTGGTGGCGCTGAAATAACTATTAGTTTTCTTTTTTTGCACACTTCTAATTTGCAACAATATATCAGGGTATGTATTTATAGTTAGAAATAACTGGTCTTTAAGGAAGTGTTAAAATGATACCTACTAGCAGGTAGTCTAGGTGCGTAAAAACCCAGAAGGAAGCTGACACTGAAGATGTGGCACTTACTGTGGTTAGACCTTGCTGTTTTCTTGCCATTGCAGTTTTATAAATTTGTCATAAAATGTGGGGATATAGGCAGTCTGAATGCACACGTTTTGATGCAGTATTATGACCTGAAGGCCTCAACATTTATCTGGACTGGAAATGATTCGAGATTTGTGTGATGGGCGACTGGAGGGGGCAGAAATTGGCTCAACAGAAATATCCTTTACACCAGAGAAGATCAAAGGTGGAATCCACACAGCAGATACCAAGACAGCAGGGTATGTATCACTTAACATTCCATTTAAGTAACCTGGATTTAAGTCCAGGTTTTGCCACTTTCTGGGCAAGTTGCTTAACGTCTATGAGCTTGTTTCCCTACTTTTATGTTTTATTTTTTTGAGACAAGGTATCCCTCTTGCCCAGGCTGGGGTGCAGTGGTGCAATCACTGCTCACTGTAAGCTGTAAATCCTGGGCCCGACAGGTCATCCTACCTCAGCCTCTGAGTAGCTGGGACCATAGGCACACACCGCCACGCCCAGCTAATTTTTGTATTGTTTGAAGAGACAAGGTTTTGCCATGTTTTTCAGCTGCTCTTGAATTCCTGAGCTCAAGCAATCCACCCACATTGGCTTCCCAAAGTTTGGGGATTACAAATGTGAGCCACCACACCTGTCCAATAAATATTTATTGAATTAATGAAATTCATTATTACTGATAGAGACGTCCCAGTTGAATACTTAAGCATCATTGTGTAAGTAAGTTAAATAAAGATCTGTCTTTTAGTAGGTAGGAGCCTATGTCGAATTCCCTTTCAAACTACTTATGAATATGATTGCTTTCACTTAACTTTAGAGAAGGGAGATAATGGCTCATTTAGAAACAACCAGGCCAGGTGGGGTGGCTCATGCCTGTAGTCCCAGCACTTTGGGAGGCCGAGGTGGGTGGATCACTTGAGCTCATGAATTTGAGACCAGCCTGGGCAACATGGCAAAATTCTGTCTCTACAAAAAAATATATATATACACACACACGTATATATATATACACACACACACGTATATACACATGTATATACACATTTATACACACACATATATATATAAATTAGCTGGGCATGGTGGTACATGTCAGTAGTCCCATCTACTTGGGAAGCTGAGGCTTGAGCCTCGGAGGTGGAAGGTGCAGTGAGCCGAGATTGTGCCACTGCACTCCAGCCTGGGTAATGGAAGGAAACCCTGTCTCAAAGAAAAGCTAATGACCAAATGTTTCACTTTATAACATTCATCATGTTACATAATTATTTCTTGTGATTTCTCACATTATTTGACTGTAAGGACCAAACAAGCAAGCAAAGCAAGCATTACTTCACTAAAACTTTTCCATGTGAAATATTTAGCTGTTAGTCTTTTTTTTTTTTTTTTTTTTTTATCTCCCAGGCTGGAGTGCAATGGCATGATCATGGCTCACTGTAGCCTTGACCTCTCGGGCTCAGGCGATCCTCCCAAAGTGCTGAGACTACAGGTGTGCACCACAATGCCTGGTTAATTTTTAAATTTTTTGTAGAGACAGATTCTCACTATGTTGCCCAGACTGGTTTTGAACTCCTGGGCTCAAGTGATCATCCCACCTGCATCTCCCAAAGTGCTGGGATACAGGCATGAGCCACCACACCCAGCCAAGCTGTCACTCTTTATAAAGTATTTTTCTTTTATTTTTATCTTATTTATTATACTTTAAGTTCTGGATACATGTCCTGAATGTGCAGGTTTATCACATATGTACGCATGTACCATAGTGGTTTGCTGCACCCATCAACCGGTCATCTAGGTTTTAAGCCCTGCATGCATTAGGTATTTGTCCTAGTGCTCTCCCTCCCCTTGCCCCCCACCCTGCAACAAGCCCCGGTGTGTGATTTTCCCTTCCCTGCGTCCATGTGTTCTCATTGTTCAGCTCCCACTTATGAGTGAAAACATGCAGCGTTTGGTTTTCTGTTCCTGTATTAGCTTACTGAGAATGATGGTTTCCAGCTTCATCCATGTCCCTGCATAGGACATGAACTCATTCTCTTTTATGGCTGCGTAAAATATTATTCTATCATATCATGAACTCCACAATGATAGGAACTATATCTTAACTTCACACCTGGAACAGTACCTTGTTATATAGTAACAACTCATATATAATCAATTCAGACCTTGACTATTTTGAAAGCATTTTCATAAACTGCTAGTTTCAAGAATTCTTTTGTAAAACTTTTGAAGAAGGTTTTATTTTAAATTTTTTTTCTTTTTTACTTTTTTGTAATATAAAGAAAAGTATCAGAACTTACCCAAGGTCACACAGCTAATGTGTTTAGTTGAAGATTCAGACCCAAGTTTGGTTATCATTTAACGCTGTTTTTTTCTATAGTGAAATACGGTCTTTCTTTAAAATTCAGGATTTTACTATTCAGACACTAAAATGGTTTTTAACTAGAAACTCAGTGGCATATACCTGCCTTCACAGTTGTCTGTGCTTCAGTTAGTAGTGATGAACAATAATATAGCTTATTTAAGAGTTTGAAAAGAAAATGCAGAAAAGAAAATGAAAATAAGCCCCTTCTGCCTTCTTCTTAGGAGTGTGTGCCTCTTGATGCAGGTCTCAATGCCGTGTGTTCTGTTTGCTGCTTCTCCATCAGAACTTCATTTGAAAGGTGGAACTAATGCCGAAATGGCACCACAGATTGATTATACAGTGATGGTAAGGGCTTTTGTTGTTGACAAACTAAGATCTCATACATGCTTCTGAGTCTCCATTCTCTATTTAAATATATCTTGAGTGTTTTTTTGTGAGTTTCTTGTTTATCTCTTCATGGTGTCTTTTTTCTTGTTTATCTCTTCATGGCGTCTTTTCTTTCTTTTTGTTTTTGAGACAGTGCTGTCGCCAAGGCTGGAGTACGGTTGCATGATCATAGCTCACTGCAGACTCAACCTCCTGAGCTTAAACAGTCCTCCTATCGTGACCTCCTAAGTAGCTGGGACTACAGGCACATACCCAGCCAATTTTTTAAAATTTTTTTTGTAGAGTTGATGTCTCACTGTGTTGCCCAGGCTGGTCTTAAACTCCT